TCAGAGTTCTGTGCATTTTCTTGTAATGTGGAAGAAATTTCAGAGATTACAGCAGAAATATTGATCTGTTTAGTGTTAGAAAAGCTATTGATTATGTGATGGTGCGAGCTTACATAAGCATAAATTGACCTTGCAGTATGTTTTATTTGTGCTTCAGCTGGGGTTCCTTSCAGTACACAGATGTGATAAGCAATACTGTTATATGGGTTATTCTGTAGCTAGCAACAAAACTAATCTCTTCAAGAAGTGGGATTCTATAATCTGCAGGAATGTTTACTGCATACTTTTAAGAAGAGATATTCAAGTGGGAAAAGGGTAATAGAGGTCAAGTGGAATAAAAAGCGAAATGGAAAATAACAGGACTAGGAAAATTGGTTGATCTTTTAACTCTTCAATACTGTATGTTCTTTTTTTAAAGTTGTAATGTTCTTTTTAAAAAGTATAAAGTTTAAAATGTTATGGTCAGGGAGAGCAGAGTGACAGCTAAACTGAAGTGTAACATCAGGAGGTTTAGAACTGTGTTTTACACCTATGAATATCCTTGTGCCTTCATTGTGAGAGGCAAATAAGGTTTGTCTGGAATGGTCTTTCCCTAGGGAGAGGGCCCAGTACCCACAGATCACACAAGGGTTCTTCTGGTGTGATACCACTCCTGAAAAACTGTTGCATTGCTTTGCCAGGCTTCAAGCTCAGTCACATTGCCCAGAAATGCAATGCTCAGAGGCTCTGAAACACAGCATCTCCTCAACCTTTCTCTGTAACTTCYCTTACCCCTCATTTTGAGGGCTGTTTTAACTATTTTGTAGTTTTCTGCAAAAATTAAGTCACAAATGTTCTGAAAACCTGCAAATTATTTGATACCATTGTGTATAGCCCAAATGAGAATAAATCAAGCTTAAAAGTCTGTAGAACACAGATATGTGGASGTGTAAAAAACAATTACAGCTTGCACTTAATTGGGCTCCGTAATTTGTTGCACTAATGAAACATTTCTTTAAAGTGGAAAACCTTTGAAGAATACTAATATAATAATTAATATTCAGGTTACCTAGGGAACTTGAGACTCTGCTGACTGTAGCTAGAAGAGCCTTTGCAGAGGAAGCTACCCAGCACAGCTTKCTTTCCCCAGAGCTTTAAGGATGACCCTTCCAGGCAGCTGTGAGATTATTTTCCCTTCCTTTCCAAGTTTCTACCACGTTTCTCTCTTACAACCAAGAAATCCAAGGACTTGCTCTGTCTAAAACAAGTGTAAATCCAAAAAGGGAGGAAGAATTCAGATGGGTTTAGAAAAAAAAGGCATAATGTGGAGATGCTGGATGATTGTAGAGACAAAGAACAAAAGAAATTTTAAAAAGGTCAAGAGATGAAGTTCATAAAGGAAAAGTCTGAATGAAGAAATAGTTTTCTATATGTTCCTAGCAGTAAATGTTGGAGAAGACTTCCAAATTCACTGTTAGCAGGATGCTACTTACACCACTGSTGGTGCATCACCTTTGCTGTCTTCTGTTGTGGAGTTAGACAAAGCCTCTTTAACAATGATCGACAAATACTACTGTGGGGCCCAATAAACCTTAAATAGATTTCAAGAGCAATGAAACAAGTGTTTGCACTTGCTCCTCTGAGGGCAGCCTATATCTGGCAATGCTGATGTCACCATTATAGACACCAAAATAAGTGAAATGCCAGGACATTGGTTCCCTGGCAGTCTGGACAAAAATCAACCACAGAAGAGTGACTGTGGATGTGGAAGGTATTAAAGAGAACATCATGGCTTGTACTTGCTTCCTGGTTCTTGATTTTGAGAAATGCATGTGTAAATAACACGTAGCTGTCAAGAACAACTGAGCACTGCCAGACAGCAATTTAGCCAAGTGTGTGTGAGCCTGCACAGCAGAGCAGCTTTAAGGGAGTCATTTGGGAAAGGGCAGCTCTCGGACGCCAAATAGACACACTTTGCACAGCTGCATGACAAAGCTCAGCCTGGAAGTAGAGGGTCAGCCTGGAGTCCTGCACTCTGCTCTCCAACAGTGAGTTGGCAAAAACACTGCCGTTYGTGCCAGACATGGCTGTCAGCTGTAACCTTTTTGCCAAATAAAAAGACAAGTATTTCTTTCCTGCATTGCACTTCTAATTTATATTCTTTTATTTGGCCTGGATCTGCTGGGAGGGAAGCTTACAAAGTGAATGGATGTGTACTCCTTGGCACATAGTGCTGTCTTCTAGGAACATAAGAATTACTGGCTTAGATCACATATTCCTTCACTCCACTAGCAGCACGATGAAAGCCAAAAGCAAAAGCTGCAACGGAAAACACAGGAAAGCTTCTCTGAGAAATTAACTACCCCAGGAGAAGCTGCTCTTCAACCTTATTAATTAGAGGTTAGTTTACGCCCTGAAGCATAAGACATTAAATCCCTTATAAATATGCATGCCTGTTCTTCAGAACTTCAGGATAATAGAGAGATGTCATAAAATTGACACCAYGCCTGAGAAGCATCAGCATTCACTCCATTTAACAGATGGACAAACAGGAAAAGAAGTCAAGCAGCCTCTCTGCAGTCTTGTCAGCAGGCAGACTGCTGGTGGCACTGGCAGGTGAATAATGTGACACAGGCAGCTTCAAGTTTCTCCTGCTGAAGGTGGCTCTCTGTAGTACCCAATTTCTGCAGCACAACCCCTCTGAGATTAATTTCCTCTTCTGCAAATGGGTGTGTTTATCTACCTACTTAATGAGATTTTCAGACTGTTTAATATTTGTATTACACAGCTATTRCTGACATTAGGCTAAGTCAGAAAAAAAAGAAGAGATCTACTGCCCAGGGATTATTAATTAATTTATTTCACTACAATTCTAGAAACCTTTTCTTCCCCATAGCTCTGTTAATGCATCATTTCTCAGCTAAAGTGCCCATGCAAAGCTAGTTGCAGGCTTAAGTCTGATGAATAAGTCTGTGACTTCTGTAAGCATGGAGATTTAGGCAGCAAGTTTATACAAAGTTTTGTTTTCACTTTTTTAAATCTCTTTTTTTTTAAAGCCTCTACTGACCAACTGCTAAGACCCTTGAAAATCTCCAGTATGGTCTTAGATTAAGGACAACTGTAAAATTTTGAAATCCTATTTCCAGAAAACAACAGAGAAGACTTGGAGAATGAAAAAAAAGACAGAAAAGACTTATGCAAAAGCACCCATCTTTTGTAAAGTAATCATTCACAACGTCCTACACCAAAGTACTAGTCTTTGTTTATATCAACAGAATTCTTTGATGACATCAAATCAGACCAAATTTCAGGAACAGAAAAATACATACTACTCTCATTAGAATTGCATGAGTTATGTAAATACAAACTAGCTAATACTCCAGCTGGTTTGCATGTGGAAAACCAAAGAAATCATAACATCACAGCTCTTAAATGATGATTTAGTAACAAGTTTGCCCCGCCCATGCTGACCCATGGATTTTGAAATATGGTTTTCTGCTTGGTATTTGAGCTAAATTAAAGCTATCAAGTTCACCTCAATGTACTTACAGTCCACACTTTTTTGGTGGCTTAATGCATCCCACTGTTTTCTSTTTTGAATTTTTCCAGTTTGATCATTGGTTGCATAACCCACTTTGACTACTTGTGACCCACACTCCTTGCTGGAAGCCAAAGACAGCACAGGGAACAGCAAGCATCCTGCACCTAAAGTTCAGTCCTATATGATGCTTTGGATGTTTGACTCCCATAGGCCTAGAAGATGTAGATGTTGGCCCAGTGGAAGGCAGATTGCATAAGCAATAAATGAAGAACTCAGGCTAGACAAATGAGTGGCTATTGTGCCACTGATTCAAATATCCAGTAGAGCAGAAACAGTGGCAAACAGCTGTATGTGGTGGCTGGTCTGTTTGGAAGGAAAAGAAGATAAAAAAAAAAAAAAAAAAAAAAAAAAAAAAAACAGATTGGAAAACAAAAAGCCCAAATGTAGCAGGGTAAGGAGCAGGTGAGAGCAGCTTCACCTCCTGTCAACTCTGTACAAGACTTGCCTTTTCTCAAATGGAATGGGCTGCTTTACAGCACCTTATCATGCCTGATATCTCTGTGCACAGCTAAGGCCTGCCTGAGTCAATGAAAAATTTCTTAAACCTTAACTCTACYTCAGTTTTGGGAAACACCATTAGTCAGTTGTGATACCCAGCAAACACAGGATTTTATGCTGCACAAATCCCTCTACCCCACCACCACCCCCCTCTGCCCCTCAAATACTATTTCTTACAAAGGGATCATGCTGAGCATGTGGATATTAARCTCTCAATGTTATTTAACTTAAAAGACTTGGAAGATAGGTCAGTTTATTTATTTTTAAYGATCATGACAGAATCTTTAATTCTGATCCATGTAAACATGTAATTCAAGAGAGCTTTTTTCCCTGGAGAAAACAGGCAYGGCACAGTGAAGTTGTTCTTTCAAACCAGTGTGATGCATTTCCAAATGAGAATTWAGGCTTTTCAGAGATCACATCCCTACTGAGCATGTCCTTATGTGCCATCCCGAACAAGGACAGAGGGAATCACGTGCTGACATGCTCAGGGGCCATGACATGCCGTGTCAAACCTAATGAGTGCCTTGGGCACTTCTGTAATAGAGGCAATAGTCTTGGGATAAGGAATACATGGCTTCACTACAGTCTTTTATCAGAGTGCCAGTTCAGATGGACAAAATAACATTAGCAGTATTTTTTAATGCTGTAGGGCTTGTGCCAGGAATATTTTAATTCATTCCACTTGTTAGTTTACTATTCTTTATAGTGGAGATAGGTGAAATTATTTACATAATTCTTTTATTCTATTCAGTTAGCACAGTTAAATTCCAAAAAACAAGAAGAGCCCCAGCATCAAAAGATTCATAGAAATTACTACAAGCAAAAGAAAATGATCTGTTTAAAAGGAAATATTTAAATTYATGGCTTGTTAGAAAAATCTAGGGTAAACAGTTTTTCTAAATGAGAAAATGAAAAGTACCTGAATTTTGTAGATTCTTCTGGCTTCTTTGCCCAGGTACAGTTCTGCAGTTTTGTGACTATGTGAAGATAATAATCTTCTGAGTATCTAAAAAAGGAAACAACATCAAACACTGGAATATAGATGTATGTATATTTAGAAACAGTCTCTAAAACATTCAAATTATGCATGTATTAATAATAATGTGCATGGTGCATATATAATAGTTTGATTTTAGAACTCTATGACCCATTTTATTTTTTGTAATTTTCAACAGCACTATCCTCATTTATCTAGCATGACCTATTAAACTGCTCTTCTTAGTACTGATGTCCTAATGAACTTCAGAAACTTTAAAAAGTACATTGTTTCAAACTTACATAATTGACCATAAATATCTTGACGTTATTAGAAATCATTTCAAATGCAAAAGTCCAAAATAATGTAAATAATTCTTTTGCACTTGGCAGTCTACACTTCAAAAATGTTTTGCGAAGTGGCTCTTGGATGCCAAGATGAAATGTAATGCTTCTTATGCCTTTTCTTTCATTWACTTTATAGAGTCCCTAAAGCTCAATTCAACCATCTAAAGATGACAGAGCAATATTTACAGATCTAAGTTTTCCTTCAAATTGTCTCTAAAATAAACAATCTCCTCTTTCACATGAACCAGAATTTTGGTTACATTGCTACATATAACCAAAGGGCTCTCAGCCCTTGAAAATCCGTTCAAGACACTTAAATTTTTCATAAGTGAAATACTTTGTAACATGCAAGACAAAAGAGAGACATATTTTCCTTTCATGTTCAATGTTACTACTTCTCCCATTTGTACTTGGATCATAATACAGGTTTTTAAAAAACAATAACTGACTTATAATGAGCACTGGGAGAATAGGAATAAAACATGGCCTGGATGCCATAACAAAATTCTATGGGACTTGAGTCTTCATACACAATCTACCTTGCATTMTTTTAACAAAAATAGCCTAAACGATCATGAGTTAACTTATGCTGGAACTTAGAAATGTCTATTTTGAACAGTTTTACAAGAATTGGGATGGCAAGAAACATCACTTGTTTTTGAGAGGAGCTTGAGAATTGATAAAAAGGAAAATAAAAAACACTCTGGTGGTTGCAGGAGCAGAGGTCAATGATCTGAAAGCTTCCTTCTCTCTCTGCTCAACATTTGAAAAAAACAGATCTCTTTTTTGTTTGCTTCATAAAAGTATGCAATTGCTAAAGGTAACTCATTTATCTATCCCTGAGTAAAATCATGTCCAATTTCCACATGGAAAATAAATGATATCTTTAAGAAGAATACTGCATTAGACCTGGTCTCTGGCTCAAGTCTGCACATATGACAACATGTACAATTTTTATCCTCCAAACTCAGTGAACTCTTAAAGAAACTGGATGATGATGATGATGATGATGACTAAACTGATTCTACTGAGCCCTTGCACAACTCAAGAGAAATCAACCGGCAGAGGCAGGCAAAGAAAAAAACTGGCTTCATTGCAACAGTAGCTGATCTGACCAGATGCAGTCCATTTCTCTTTCCTATGTCACTATGGGTACCGACCTGACTCCACCTCTGTTTTGCTTTTGCCTGGTTTTGCAATTGTCAAATGCCTCCATAGATCACTTTTACTATCAAGGCAAAAAAATAACCCAGAAGCAAAAGGATATGCACATATATTTTCTTCTTCCTCATTGTGTTACACCAGATCAAGACAGATTCCACCAAACGCCACAGCCAGTATAACCAAAGAGTGATGGAAATGGAGAAAATGGGATCAAGGTTCTCCTATTTTGGCAGCTGCCTGCTGGTATGTTGTATTCTCAGAGAAAATGGATCTACTTTCCTGCTGAAGCTGCTACCTAAATTGAGTCACCATGGGATCAGGTCAGTGTCAGTACCAGCAAGGCAGGGCAGGGAGTGTGTGTGGGGGGAAGATAAGATAAAAGCAAACGACCAAAATAGCCTATTCTAATGTTGAATAACTCATCGAATTTTATTCCTTAAGCTAAACAATAAATCACTGTTATGTGCTTGGACYTATAAAAAAATTGCAAAAATTAATAGGATAACAGACCATGAAGAGTTACTTAGGCTATCATTATCCAGGAGAAAAAAATACAGAAAAATCAAATTCTAGCCTAAAGACATTGATAAGATGAAGATCAGAGTCAGAAATGAAAAGAAAAATCACCATCAGCTCAGAAAGAAATTGCATGGACTGACAAGTTATTAGCAAGTTACAGGGAAACATTTGGTAAGGAGAAAAATGAAAGCATCATCCAATGCTAGTTCCGAGGCCTTAAAGGAAACAYAGGCACTCTCCATCAGAAACTCTAAGGACCTTCTTATACAAGTAACAGTAAATGAACTTACAGTGAAAACACCAATTACAAAGCAAGAACACTGCAGCCTTTCTACTGCTTTCTTCACTGGATGGAATTGCYCTCACTTAGGAGGTATCCAAGCTCAGCAGCTCACACACAAAAGCACCATTTCCAGGTCTTTACAAGTCAAAACACCACCTCTGCTTGTCCTAACCATCCAGTTTAGCTCCTCTTGTGACTTACAGAGATACTCTGGACTGTCAGAACTCATCTTTGCCAGCTGGCACAGTGCCACAGGCAGCAGAGACACCCCAGCACGCTGTCCTGGGGGACAGGAGCTCCCAACTGTGACAGCTCTGCAAGGCATCTGCTCRCACCAATAAAGGATTTCTATGAAATGAAAGCTACTTGAATASAGGCAGAATTCCTATAGATAATTTTTTTAAGACTCAATATGAAGCTCGGGGATTTTCTGTGGGTTTATAGCCCAGAAAGTTTTGTTTTCCTCTCAGAAAGCTGATTTTAGCATTTCCTGCTTTAAAGGAGGCTTGGGGAGACACTTCTCTAAAGCAATCAATTCAGGTTATCAGGGAACCATTTCATGACTCTGCTGTAACCCAGACAGATGTCTTCTCCACTGTTCCATTTTAAAGAGCTGGGACATTTCATATATTTTCACTGTCACCCAGGAGCCTACAGCACATATTCACTGATGCTAAGAGGGTTTTATTAAGATAAAAAAAGCTCAGGTAAATTGAACTATAAAAATTCTTGGACAAGACAATAATTACAGTGCTGAGACAAGTGAATGAATGAAATATGTTTTGCTTTGTCCTGTTTTTGTCTGCCACCTGCACTAGAAAACTCACTTATACTATATGACAAATAACACCTGAAAGGCTTTTTTTTTTTTTTTTTTTTTTTTTTTTTTTTCTTTTTTTTTTTTTTTTTGCCAACAGTATTGGTCAGGTAGGCAGTGACCTTCTATCTTAACTGCAGTGGCTAAGGTGGAATTACTACACATATTCAAGGCACTGAAAAAGTATAAGTATCTCCTAATTTTTGGCAGATATCTGAAGGACACAGCAAGGACAGAAGTGCTGAGATATTATGGAGACAATAGGTAAAATTTCAGAACAGACAGATGCATTCCCACTGCTTTTTGCTAAAACTAAAATCCAACCTGTAAAAAGATATTYGAATTAGAAGGAAGACTGAGCAGCAGGAGTGAAAAAAGGACACATTTCTACCTGGCAGTTTATGTTCAGGAAAGAAACTAATAAAAAGAAAAACAATAGCAGAAAATGCAAAATAAAGGGAGGATCTGTTTTGCCTTTGACACTTTAATACTACTAAAACAAATATCAGTTTTATAAGCCCTCAGGAGAGTGTACAGAGGGTTTGCTTTAGAATAAAAATGGAAAACTGCTAACAAAAATCAGCATGTCAGGCTCTTTGTCACCACCAGCACATACTTGCTATTATAATAATTTTCCACTTACATAGCATTTCTTACTATCTAATCATTTCACAACCTTTAAACTTGATTTTTTTTCTCTTTCTTCCAATTTAAGAGGCAGGAGCATTCAAAAGGTCCCTGCAAGTCTAGAACTGCAATATAAAGCATTTATAGACCATGCCCATGGGTCACACCTTGGAAAAGCAACAAAATCCCTGCAGCTCTTCTCAGTGAAGGGCAATAGCTGCAATACTCATGGCAAAAAGCAATCCCTTGCTCCTTTGCTCCAAGCATCTGTTTCTCTTCCTACCTGTCCACTTCATCTTGTGCCTCATTAGATGGTACAGCCACTTGCTTTTTAACCATAGGATAAAAGTCTTCTACTTTGTAAAGTTTCTCCTATAATCTCAGCTCAGAAATGTCCTCAATACGAACAGCTCATCTCCATTGCCGCAGTCTGCACAACTTTGCAATGTGTGGAATAAACAACAGTATTTTATTGCTATAAGTGGATTTTGAAGGCAATACAGCRATGCTGTTCCTTCTCCTTGTATTAATCATTCGTTTTCAGTCAACTGCATTCTTTGATCTCTGCCAATATATGTTTCAGCTCTCACTATCAATGCATAGTGATCTACCATCTTTCAAAAGAATAAAAATTTCAATGATAGTGTTCCTGAAAGAGGTGGAATCTTAATGGGAGAAGAAGTTGTAGAGAAGGAGAAAAAAAAAGAAGAAGAAATAAATCAAAAATAATACAAAGAGTAAAGACAAAATGCTGGAAATATGATAGTTTAAAAAGAGGTGAAAGCTCTTCAAATGCAATGAGAAAGTGAAAAGTGGGCAGAAAAAAACAGGATTCATTTTCAAATCATCATTTAATGTTGTTAAATGTTGTTTTGGTATTGAGGAAAAAATTGACTCTCCAGTACTTTGACTAGGGAARGGCATATAATTATTTTTAGCTCAGCTTTTGCTTCTCATTCCATTTCTCTTCCTAAATGGAGGGTAGTGGGGAAGGAAGCTCCCAATTTCAAAGATGCCACGGCACCCATTTTAAGCTGCAACTCAGTCCTAATGGGATGCCTTTCTTACTGACAATGTTTTATTTATTGGTACATCCACACAGGAAAAATATTACATGTCAAAACAGTGGGCTGCTTTTCCCTTTTTCTCATTAGAAAGTGACAAGGAATTTGAGCAGGGCTGGTATCAAAGTTGGACTTTTCTCCATGTCAGAAAAATACAGAACAACAAATTAAAACCCAAAATTAACTTGGAGTAATGTGTCTAAAATTCGACTGTTAATTTCCTGTTATCATAATGTATGCAACTAACCAGCAAGCTTTTATACCAGTACATTTCCATGCTCACTCCAGTGAGTATGCTGAACACAATCATTAACTGAAATGGCCCATAACAAGGAGAAATGTTCACCAATCAGGGAAAAGACACACAAGAATGAAATAATRCCCCACCCTTCTACTCAATGTTGTGAATAATTTGGAATGTAATGTTGCTAACTGACAAGAAGAAATCTTGTTGACTAATATTGTGAAAATAAAAAAGTTAAAATTCAACCTCAAATCAATCTTATCCATGTAACAGAAAAAAATGCAGCAAACATGTGGTTGAACAAATTCCATTTTCTGTTGTATAGCTCCAAACTAATATATMAAGAATTATGTAAAAAAGGACAATCTTTTCCCTTCTATTTAAAACAAAGCAGAGGGGACAGCAAACACCTACCTTTTCTTCTTGATAGATGATGACAAAATGTTGTCCTGAATTGCCTTACATTTTGAAGCCTGTTCAACCTGGTAAATTCCATTTTTATTAAGGGTTGTTCTGTTAAAAGGGAGGGGGAGGAGAAAAAGCAATAAACTTTAAAAGAGAGAACATATTCTACCAATGTTGCCACATTTATTTTGCTATGACAATACGATTAATAACAGTTGATTTAGCTGAAAACGTTACCAAACAAATCTTATTGACTTCTATTGTGAAGATCTTGTTGTAAAGGAGAGTTTGCTGCTAGAGACTATAAAATGTTTGATTCTTTAAAATAACCCTATTTCATAGTCTGAATTATATTTTCTGCTTTACACTGTAATCACCAAATGTAATTTCAAAAACATAAATGAAATTTAAAGCCTATTGAACATATTTTTTTGACATTTAAAATATTCACTAGTAAAATATTCACTAGTAAAATATTTAGCAGATGTGATTTCCTAAAGTTGTTGATTACATGCAATATCCAGAGCAAATATAATATATACAGGAAACACCACAGGTGAAGTGGATCTTTGACCTAAACTTACTGACTCAAACATAATAGTTCCTTCCTTGTTTATTCTTTATTTACACAGCGAGAATAAATATTTGTAAAAGGAACCAAGTCTAGTGCTAGATAGTGATCTTTAATTCCTGCCTTATTTTCACCAAACTCCTGTGTGGTCCTCTTGCTCTGGACAGCCTTAGTAGAAGACTAAGATACCAAGGTCTTATTTTATTCACCTCACCCTGTATCTAGGTCCAATCTCATACAATCCCCCTCCTCTACCTTCTACCTGTGGATTGCTGTTTACCCATAAAGAATTTTCCTCCTGCATTTTCATTTTCCCTGYCCCTCACCATCTTCCCCCCCGCCCCCACTTCCTCCACCTTTTTGCTTTTTTCCACTGATTCACTACTCACAGAGCCCTAAGACACTGCAACTATCTGTCCAAACCAGAAGTAGAAACACAAAAGACAGAGATGCCATGTGCTGTTCTTAAATAACAACTGAAACTTCTCTGTACAGAGGAAAACATGACGAGAAAGGGTCCTCCTGMTTTGTGCACAATGCTCTGTGCCTCTGAACCATCACTGCTTTTACTGACAAGGACCAAACTCCATTGCCTTTATCTGCAAAACCATGGAAACCCCTTACCAAGACTTCAGACATGCTGACTTTGAAGACCTTACTTGGGAAAGATGCCATTTCAAGCCATGGAATCACAGAGAGGCTGAGGCTGGAAGGCATCTCTAGAGATTACCTGCTCAAGCAACCTCCCTGGGCAGCTTGTGCCAGGGTCACCTAGAGAGGATGATGAAGGAGTCTAGATGGCTTTTAAATATCTCCAAGCACGGGGATTCCACAACCTCCCTGGGCAGCTTGTGCCAGGGCTCAGTCACCCTCACAGTGAAAGAGCATTGTCTGATGGTCAGAAGAAACCTCCTGTGTTTCAGTTTGTTCCCACTGCCTCTGTTCTACCACTAAGCACCACTAAGAACTTGTCTCCATCCTCTTTGCACCCTGTCTTCAGGTATCAATAAGGTCCTCCAGAGCCATCTCTCCTTAAACACTTCAAATAAGAAGACTGAAGAAGAAAGAGAAGACTAAATGGTTATTTATTTTATTACTGAATTGACTKTCATGGCCATAGCTGGCAGAGAAGGAAAAAGAAAAAAAAAGACCTTTCTTTTTCTTTCCATTGCCCATGAATTTTCCAGAGAATCAGTCATCCCCTAGTAGCAATTTCCACAGGATGTAGGCTGCAGAGGGGAGGGAACAGCTCTCTTCCTTTCTTCCCACCATCAAGAAATTCTTCCCACAGTACACACTCTGTCCCTAAGGAAGTATCCAGTCTGTATGCCCCTTGTTGAGGACCATGCTAGGACAACACATAAACCTCTAGCCTTTTAGTTCTGCAGAGACTTCAATAGATAGTAACAGCTGGCATTGCCTACGGAGAGCTTCTTGGCTGCCTTTGCATACAGCTCTTTATCTCATTTTTTTCTCAAGGAGTGACATACAAATAACAGAAGGCTCTCAGAGCACAGAGTTCAGGGCTAAGAATTCTGCAGATCTCACCCAGCAAGTGCTAGCAAATATTATGCCCACATAATTTATGTACACARGTTTATTGCAGATTGGTCTGAACGGTTCTGTCTACGCAGAAAGACCAAGTAGGCCCTTTCCAGTTCTCAAACAAATTTAGTTAACACTAAATTGTGCTTCCTCTCCCCTGCTTCTTTAACTCAGTAATCTCCAATGATTATTCTGCAGYTGTGGCTTGAAATAAGAGAAATGGCTACAGGCAAAGTTTAGCTGCCCAAACAGCATCTTAAAGAAAAGGAAAAAAAATATGGAACTATTGATAAAAGCCAAGTGCATGTTACTGCTGCAAATAGGTCTTTCATTATAACTAAAACCTAAGATGTTGGATGCTGATTTGAGAAGTGTCCCCAGCCCTTGTGAGCCACAGCTGGCTAGAAGAGACCGTCTCTAATACAAGACAAAAACCAAGGCAGGCAGTTAGGTTTGATCAGCTCCTTGTGAGATGCATTTGCAGGCCAAAGCGGAACCAGCCTTCTTTCACAACCCTGTGCAGACACTCATAACAAGGTCCTTACAGCTTCCTATTAATTTATGTCATGAGATCTGTGGGGCAATGCATAAATATTCTCTCCAATACAAGCTTTACTCCACAGACTTCTAGTCCTTTTAAATTCATAAGATACATACTAAAAATGAGGCGACTTGCCTGCATGCAATTGCTTTTTACACACTCATTTTCAAGACTCAAAAAAAGCAAAAAAGAGGAAGTCAGAGAAAAAAGAACAAAACAAATCCCTATTCTGTTTAGTCATTAAATCCTCACAAACACTTTTACAGACATTAGGTAAAAAAAAGGAACAACGAGTCTTTCCTTCCCTTTCCATAACACATGTAAGATTGGTGAAAATGGCATGATTGAGGAGAAAACCAGACAGGAATTTTAATCAAAGTTGTTTATTCATGTAGTGCAGCCACATCATAGATCACCAAAAGGCTTCTTCCACCCATAAAATAGCTTTTTACCCACAAAATTTACTCAATGCTCTTTATAYGGTGCAAAAGGCACAAAATTAAAACAATTTACTTGCAAGAAATGCAAAACAATGACTCATTCCATTAAAAGATAAATTTCTGAATTTCTGTTTCACTGTCAGAATGRCCTCTGCTTCACATGAGTGAAATCTTTTTGCATTTAGATAAAAATGGGTGTATAAGAGGCAGTCCAGACTTCTACTGCATTATTCATGGCAAAGTTGTGCAGACATCAGACTCAGATTAAATTTCTGCTCATTTCAGACAATTATGCAAGGCAACATTTATCATTAAATGAATTTACCTGACCTACTGGATGACAGTCTTTGTTCACTACTTAAAGCAGCACTACAAGTTCTGCAATGAATCAGATAAAGTGCCTAACAATGCAGATATCAGGCTACATTCAACTAATTTCGTGAACTATTAAACTAAATAGGAACTTGAAGTAGAAACATTCTATTGGCTTGGACTCATAAAACTGATGATATAGGCAAATTTCAACTGCATTTTCCTTGGGGCTTAGATGTTCTCAAAGCCAACATCATTGGACCAAATCTGAAAAGCAGGGTTTTTTTTAATCATATAYGAACAGCTTGAGGACCRCATACTTCCTATGGTAATTCTAGGAACTCAGGAAGTACACCATCTGTACTTTAATAAATCCACAGAAGATTAAGACCATGTGCCATATTTATCAGCACRTTGTTATTCTATATCTTGCTCTCAGGAAGACAGAAGATCCTCAAACTGTAAAATTCTTTACGACAAGGATTGCATCCACCTTTAGAATAAGAAATAGAGAAACTATATGGAAAGTCCATGGTCCCTGTGGCATTTGGTCCTGACACAATAGGGGAACCTTACCATACCTCACCACACAGAGATGTATGTTAAGTAACATGGGATTCTGGGGGAGGAGACAGATAAAAGATACATGGAAGGGAAGYAAAGGGAAGCCCTTTTAAAACAAAACCAAACTCAACCCCAACTAGTTATCAGAGTAGGAAAAGGGATAGGCATAGGATTGAGGAACGGTAGGGAAGGAAAAGACAGATGGTAAAAGGAAAACTGGTGCTRTGCGTTATACTGTAACATGATGATATGCCCAAGATTAAAAGGCCACTCCTCTAGAATTCCCTCACAATTAGGTGAAAACAATTTAAAGAACTTAGGATGAGATTTTCAAAATTGCACAGAACTGGATTGTCTGGCAACAGTGAAAGCACCAAAAATATGAACGCCCTAGTAAGTCCACACTAAAAGTAAGGGAAAATCCCACTCAYTGGCTATTCTCCACACCTAGCAGAATCAGTTGTTGCTCTTCTTTCCTACAGCTTCTTGCTCTTGTCGGTCTGAGGCAGCACAGGAGCTCTGAACTTGTTCCAGCTGAGCATCTCCAGCTAAAAAGGATAACTTCTGTATGCAAAACTGCACATTTTTATCCTTCTACCAAAGTGGTTTTGAATAGCATTATCCAGATTGCGAATATCTTCTGTCTTAATCTCTCCCTTGAAGGGACTAATTTATATTTGAATCTCATCATCCATTAGTTGAATACCATTAAAAAAACCATAATCCATACTTCCCGAGGGAGGATGCCCTTAAGTGCTGTCTTTGACACTATTTTGAATTAATCAGATCATAAGAATATAGTTATGTTTTTAAAGTTCACAACACCTTGATTAATAAGGCAATACACAATTTAAATTCTTGGTGAAATGGACTATAAAGAAAGCTTTATCAAACCATAGGAGTAAGAATTTKTCTTGAAACATTAATCATAGCAACTGTGAAAGAGACTGATCCTACTGTCCTTGTTCAAGTTCCCATGGAGCTATAGCTTATCTAAGGAATGCTAAATCAGGTCTTTAACACAAACTGTATCTTTAAATTATTTGAAAGACCCTCTAGTGAATTCACCCGGGGTTATACATAACATCAGATATTTTTTGTTTATAAAATCCATAAACCACATGACAAGCAACATTTAGAGCCTCATAGCAGGTGAAGTGAAAAAAATAAGGTATTTACAGTAAAACCATGTTACAAGAGCACACGATAGAATGACAGAGCARTTTCACTTGGACCAAGTAAACAGAAAGAGTCTGGGAAATCTTTCACCACTGTCAGAACAGAAATGTGTTGTGGCAGCAGCTTTCAACTGAACACCTATTAACTTAGACAGAACTAATACATGAGGCATGTGCTCTAAATGTGCTCCTAAAATATGTCTGCATGCACCACTTGGGAATGAAGGAGCAAAATACTAAGAGAGCAGTAAAATTAGTGAAGTGGACACCACTGCTGACTAATCTAAACCATAGCAAATTATTTGTGCAATATACGAGGCTACTCCATAATTGTGGTATTAGCCTGTCTCTTCTTCCCCTTCTGACTCCGTGAATGCAATATTTTGACAGGAGACAGAATGCACAGGTCTCTGTAGCATAGCTAATTAAGTATCACTCTGCTTTCTAGGCCTGCAAACAGATCTGCTGCTGAGAGAGGAATTGGAGAAATCAACACTATGGAACACTATATTAACACTATCTTATTTACTCATAGCTCCTCAACCCCTTCCTCCCACTGTTCAATTACCACAGTGGTCTCTATACTGCTCTTGCCTTGGACTCCCAAAGACAGAGAGCAAGCTAGGCAAATAGAAGGTGAATGCCTTAAAACTGGCAACACAGAGCAACAGAGTAAAGGTGGCCAATTCTTCAGGGTACAGCTGCCTTGTTGTTGCTTTTATGTAAGATATATCTATATAAAATGCTATTTTCACTTCCCTTGCAGAAGCTGGCACTATTTATCTGCTACATATTCCTGGGTAGTACAATAGGAGCTAGAATTTCTGCCTAAGTTTAACCTAGCACACCCTGGGCGTCATAACAAAGAAAAGATTACCTAGCTTCTTTTATTATTTTTACTTTCCCTTGACAAACACTAGCAATACTGAACCTTCTTTTCTCCTAATAATGCTATCACATAAATAAATATGCCTGCACAAAACACTGCCGGGGAGAAAGGAAGGAAGAGAGGGAAGAACAAGGGTCTAAAGGTGGGAAAAATGCAAGACTTCTATTTTTGGTTGTACTATTCACTTAAGAAAGTATAAACTGTACTTGCAGTTACAGCTTAAAAATTGAGAGGATGGTGTGAGGCATAGATGGGAGAATTTGCCAGAGAACATAGTATTGCAGTACAAATTATACTGGCTCCATGAATAAATTTGGGGACTACTAGACAAGTCTTACTAACAATGTCTTTCTTTTCAGTAAGAAACCCTACTAACAGGTATGGTCAGCTGCAAAATAAACCCAAGACAAAACCTGCAAGTCACACTATAGAGGCAGTCACAYTGCTCCGATTAGCTAACACTTAGCAAGAAAAAGGGGTAAGCAATGTCYTGTAAGAGACAAACCACGTCGTCAAGGTTATTTACTAAGACACAGATTTTCAGAGAACTTCACGTGCCTGGTCACCATGTATTTAAACATTACAGCACATAATAGCTGCCTAAATATCTAAGACAGCCTGATCCAATCCCCTGCTTTTCACACTTTCATCCTTCAGTTTCATCCTTTTAAAAGAATTACACAAAGTARAAGAACAGATTAGCTTTCAATACTGCRAAGCAACAGAATAATGGGGCCTTAGAGATTCTTYACGAGATGTCTGGTTACAAATACGYCTCCAACAGCAAAGGAAATCATGATAAGAAAAAAGATTAGCTTGTGACTGTGAAGATTGTCTAGATTACTTACACTTAGAGATCAAGAAAGATAGTGGCCAGTTTTTTTTTTTTCTTTTTCCTTTCCTGGAAACATCCATGCACATCCTCTTACTCTTATGCAGGAAAGGATATTGTTGTCAATAACACAGCAATGCCATTCAAATGATCAGGGCWGTTTAGGAGAACCATATTTCCACACTGCACTGGAATTTAATTTCTATTGACCAGACCATCCATCTCCATCACTGAAGGGATTGGTCTGAACCTCCTGAATGAGTCCAGATGCTCTCTGGATCAAACCTCTCCAGCATGGCCYTTAGCCAGGCCCAGTCCAGCTGCTGCCTGGATCAAAACCCTCCAGAATGGCTGCCTGCCCAGTCTTGCTGCTCTCTGGATGAAGAAACAGCTCCTGGTCAGCCCAGTCCAGCAGCTCTCCCTCTTCTCTCATAAGCCAAACATGCATCACAAACTCCTGTCAGGCCAGCTTACTGAGCATAGTCACTCAGGTGAGAAAGCACATCCACTCTTGGATTCAGCTGGCAAGACATCCCTTCAAAGACACTACAGYTATAGGAGCTTAAGTAAAATAAAACTTTCTTTGATGAATTATTTACTTGACACACTTTTGCAGTCACTTAGTCATGAGGAAATATAATTTCAGGTTGACCAAAACTGGCTTCAAATTGRTGCCAAAATCCTTCAAGTAGAATAAGGAAAAATACATATTTAAAATCTCAAGCTCACTTGCCTTATCACAAAGGTTAAAACCATGCCATGGATTTTCAAACCTCTTTGGCAGGTGTTGCTTCTACTTTCTTTGCTCTAGTTGTGAGTGCACTAACAGCAGATGGGAAGTAGCTAGACGGTTCTCTGCAGTGCTCTCTGCCAGGATTTCTAGTCAATTCAACTCCATGRTAAAGCCCACAGAGTTGAGTGAAAGGAGAAGCAACTCAGAAACTRGCAGGGAAGGGTGTGAGGAGATGGGCCAGGGAAAACCACAGACATAACCCAAAACAGAGTGGAGAGAAKAAAGGAGTGATGGCTACAAAAAAAGGAAAGCAGAACTGAGTATATGCTGCAAAACCAATGCATTGCAATGAGTGGAAAAGAAGTGAAAAAAGGCAGAAAGGGAAAAAATGAGAACAGGAAAGAGAAGCACGCTAGAAGCTCATAACACTAGACAGGAACATTTTCAGAATTCTGTTCCTTTTCTTTAACTCTAATTTTGAAAAGTGCTATCAACTTACAGCTTGTGAAAGTTCTAAATTTTGAGGCAGGGAGCACAAGGTTGTCTCATTGGAAACACATAAGAAAGGCACTGTTAGGGTACCCTGCAATGGTTACTATAACTAACGTCACTTGCCCACACTCAGGGAAAGCATAGGCTGTCAAAATCAGCTAGACCGGGTGAGACCAAGTGGCTTCAGTAAGGTTAACTGCACTGTCACCATTGTCTTCAACACAACCAAGGCATCACAGTTGCTATGGAAGACCCAATTCTTTAGTTCTTCCTAATTTTTATKATGTGTTTTTGACCATAATATATGTTAACACATAATAGTAATGGGATCTGAAATGTTAATAAGGTAAATGAGTAAATGAGAGTAAATGAGAGAAGCAAAACATATTTGGAAACTACTTCTTACATAGCATTATCTCACATGGGGATTACACCACCCTCTTCTGCACTGTTTCCCTACAGTGTGTGAGGACTCAAGAGCATGAAAACAATAGTCATTAGTATTRAAGTCTGCATGAAAGATACAGCTTGTTTCACAGCTGATTTTACAAACTATCTTCATATTAATTTTAATAGCATAAAATAACAGGCTGTAAAGCAAGGATCTACACTGATCTAAAAGGTCAAGACACAGGATCAAGTGAAAGGGCTCCTACAAAGTACGATGCCAGCACAAAATGAAACAGACTTCATATCTCGCCTTCATCCTACGGATCGTAAATGACTAATCTGTATTTTAAACTAAATACACATTACAAAAACAGTAACAGTATTACCCAGCTCCAGTTCCACCTTCCTGGAAAGAAGAATTAAAGATACCTGGAACACGCCATTCAGCAGTCACTTTTTACATCGTATGTTAACAAAACTGCTCTACGCAACATTTTACTGGGCTCCAAACCAACGGCAGAGTGACTGACAGCCGTCATGAAGAGGGCCCACGAGCAAACAATTCATTAYAGTTAAAGCAAAGTGTCATTTTCCCTAATAATCTCTAACACTCTCTCTGATCAAGCTGCCGAAAGAAAAGGAAGAAGGAATAGGAGCAAAAGCGAATTTCTGCTTTTATAGACTCGACCTCACGGACCCACCTGCGGGCGGCCAGTCCGTACCTGTTCTCGGTCTGAGGAAGGGGCGTCAGGGGAAACCTGAGGGCTCGCACCACTTTCGGCGTGACAGCCGCTACTCCTGCCTCCTCCTCCCAGCCCCTGGCAAGCGAGACGGGAAAACAAAGTTGTCAGGACCAGTGATTGAACATCAMCCGGCGTTAGCGGCACCGCTCTCCTGCCCACGACCCGCTCGCAGCCGCCAGCACCCTCGCCGAGCCCCGACCGCGCCACGGGCACCGCGCCGGGCTCCGCCGCGCCCCGCGGGGCTCGTCCCGCTTTCCCCTCCCTCCCAGCCGGCTCCGGACCGCGGGCGAGGCCGCCCGGCCGCCCTACCTGGCGTGGAGGGGCTGCTGGCCGCCCAGGCGCAGGAGGCAGCCGCCCAGCAGCAAGCTGCCCAGCGCCGCGGCCAAGGCGATGACAGCCCGCATGGTGCGCTCGGCAGCRGCGCCCGCCGCAGCTACGGCCGCCCCATAGTATTTAAGGGAGGCTGCGGGGAGGGGGCGGCGGCCATGGCAGCCACAGGGTCTCTGCGCTCCGCCCCTCGCCCGCAGCCCTGCGCCGCCGCCATCAGCCCCCCTTCCTCCCACAGCGGCCGCCGCTCGGGGCCCGGCCCGCCGCTGCTGCTGAGGGATGGCCGGGCCGGGCCGGCGTGAGGGCGGCACCCGGGCGGCCTTTGCCGGCGGCCGCTCGCGGCGCTTCCCGGTGCCGAGGGCGGCGGAGCGAAGGAGTCGAAACTGCCTAAACTTTAATAGGGGAGAGGGGCGCCGTGCGGGACGGCGGCGGGAGCAGCGTGCGAGGGCAGGCAGCCCTGCCCCGTGTCGGGTGTAGTGAGGCCGCTGCTAGTAAAATAGCTCTTTATCTGAATAAAAAAATAATAGTCAATATGTCCTGTTTTTTCTTACAAAAAGCATGTTATAAAAAGATATATTTTATAGTTAAAAATGACCCCACTTGGAAGACGGTGTGCAACTCTGGGGTCCCCCAACGTAGGATGTTTAGAGGGCCGTGAACATGGTTGAGGGATGGAGACAGGCTGAGAGAGCTGGAGTGGTTCAGCCTGGAGAAGAGAAGGCTCTGGGGACACCTGGTTGCCACCTTCTGGTATCTGGAGGGGACCYACAAGAAATCTGGAGAGGGRCTTTTTAACAAGGGCRTGTTGTGATAGGAGAAGTGGAATAGCTTTAAAGTGAAATAAAGCAGGTTTAGGTTGAATATTGGGAAGATATTTACCATGAGTGAGGTGAGGCTCTGGAATAGGTTGCCTGGAGAAGCTAGGGATGCYCCAAACCTGGCACTATTCCAAGGCCAGGTTGGATGGCGCTTTGACCAATCTGGCCTGTGATGGGAGGTGTCCCTGCTTATGACAAGGAGATTAGAACTAGATGATCTATAAGGTACATTCCAACCCAAAATGTTCTATGAGTGTGTGATTTGCAGTGGGTTTGGTTCAGAAATTTATCTGTAATGAGCTTGTATCTTTCTACCTAATAGTGTACTCAATGTTGCTTTCACAAGTCAGCCACTGGCATGAGAAACCTAGTAAGGGGACAAGCTGTCAATAACTAGGGTCCCTTTATTAAAAAAGTAGGTAGTAGAAATGCTATGACTTATAATAGCCTTTCAGTCAAGAGTTGATGCCTTGTTTTCTGCAGATTGCTCTCCATCATTCCTGTTTTCTGTGTCTCTGAGCATTTCCTTAAACCTTGGAGATGCTGCAATCTGTWCTTAAAGGATGGCTGCAAAGCCTCAAAGTAAGATCTCTGCTGCAGTTATATCAACAAAGTAACACTGACTTGATATTGTGAGTGCTTAGATATGAAAACAAGAAGCAGCATGCCTGTAGTGCACCAGAGGAACAGCACAGCACCAGCTGTGATTGTGACAGGGTATGAAGGGAAACATCCAATGATGGTTTTGGGGCATTCTTTAGCTTGCTGGTGAACAGCACTGTGGGTGGTGGTGGGAGGGAGCTAAAAACAGTTGGCTGCTCTACCAAGGGGTTGCGGGTATCTGGCTCATTGCACAGTCCCCCTGGGAGCCCARCTCAGTTTTCTTCTTGACTTTGAGGTACTTAATTGTAATAGTGAAACAAAGACAGTGTCACGACTTCTGAAGTCCTGAAGAAGTTTGCTGGTTTAAAATCATCATGCATTATGAATGTCTGGAACATGAACATGTTTCATCACCATTTCCCAAAAAAGCTTGCTTCAGGCCTATCCTGTAAAACCAGCTGACATTGTATATGAAGAARTAGGGGGCCAACAGTCGAGCTTTTCAAGGTATGTGTATGTTCAATGATTAGCAGGTACTAGAAATTTCAATCCCCCATCACCTTTGTAAAACTTGAAGACTCCTGCTTATGTTAGTGGATATCATCAACTATTTCATAATATCCATTAAATATCCTATGTAAAAYAATAAGTCTTTCATTTTGGAAAGCCTAGTAGTGTTTCATTTCAGTTCTGAATGAAAGAAGACTAAGAATTACAGTCCAGAAAAAGATTGGGTTTTTTTCCGCTCACTGTTATTTCCCTCTGCAATACAGTTTTCCCATGAGTCCTGAAGTATCACTGTCAGCTAATCCATGGGAAATTTAGTGATGCCAGTGAGGACATCGTATTTCAAGTTAGAGGTCTCCTGCCAACACTAGTCTATAATACCAGTTTTTCTCAGATCAGAAGGTTAATCTTTGTGTCATATTAAAGTTCTTGCAAAGAAAATGGAAAGACTATRAACCATATGTGTTTAAATTAGACTTGTCACTTGGCGCTTGTTGTTTACTAACAACTTTACAAACATATATTGATTGATTGTCACAGTATCTTTAAATGTTACCAGCCTTAATTTCCTGGCAGAGCAGCTTAGTAGAAAGGTTAAGCGACCCTAATTTACAAATGTTTGGTTCAAAAGACCATGTTTGTCTYACATGGTGCTGCCATGTCAGAAGAGATGGGTCGAAATGATAAAGGCACAGGGGCCAAAGATGCCACATAGGAAAAGATAGAGACTTAATGGTGTACACAGAGTTTGTGTCCCATCGCCTCTTCCTCCTCACAGCTGGAAGCTGCTGCATCTTGGCAGCATCCCCCATCCCCTGATTCCCATTAGCTTCTGAAGTCAGCAGGAATTGATAATTGCTGGCTTGCACAGAAGGAAGAGATCACTAATCAGCCAGGTGGTGTCATCATGACTTTGTTACTGAGCTCCTACAGCCCTACTTAGCTGCTAATTTGGAAAAGCAAAACACAGCTTTGGGTATCATCCATGAAAGGTTGCTGCCCCCCAGGTCAGCAGGATTGCATCTCGAAAGGAGTCTGGTAGAGGTGCCTGTAGGGCTGCTGGTCACATGGAGCCAGCTTAGCCTTCTTATTTCCAGCAGCTAAATCATATTAAGAAGCAATTAATGTTCATTAAATGCTTTCCTAGTGCTGCCTTCCCATCTAAGCAATGGCTGTCATAGGGATATTAGTTATTGCAAATAGGAGGAGAGATGACTGTTGCAATTAGGAAGAAGAGAAAGATACTAAAGATATTCAGTGAAACTGGAGTCCCACGTTCTGGCAAAGCATGAGAGTCCCCAGAATGAGGTATTGGTGCGAGACAACTATTTTGGTATTTTTAGTGTAGTCATCAGTGTGAGTTCTTTTAGTAAAAAAAAAAAAAAATTCCAGCAAATTCACAAAACTGAAACATATGTGTTTCAAACTGGGAGAAAGTCATTGGTTCATTGCATTTCACAACTTCTTCATTTATTTCCACCCACGGTTTTGGGCAACATGGTTTTACATAATGATAAACAGTAAGAACTAAGGTGCTGCTGCCAGACTCCAGGACATGAAATTGTCCCAGTCTTTTCACTAAAGAAAAAAGACAAAAAAGCAGTATGTTCCTGTACCCGATTAAAATAACAAAAAGTCAGGTCCAAACCAAACAATCACCTTGTATGTCTGTTGCTGCTATGCTTTTAGTCTTGCCTTATTGTTTTTTCTCTATTTTTTTCAGGRCAGAATCTTGTGTACTGCAAGTTAAAAATTAGGCTTTATTAAAATAATAATTTAATAACTGAATTCAGACAGCAAACAGTCTGTTGAGATCTACATGAACCTAGCTAAAGTATTAGGTGTTTAAAAGCAGTTGTGTATTGCTTTGAGATGTTCATCAGGTGTGCCAGTGATGACTCATCCAGTCAGGCACCATTCACTCTCTGGAGAAGGTCAAGGTGAAAAAAATTTAGGGCACGTGGAGAAGTCTTCAAGACTGATTGCTTCATAAGATGTCATACTTACAGAATCACAGAATATTCTGAGAATGAAGGGACCCAYGAGGAGCATYGAGTCCAAYTCTTAAGTGAATGTCCTTTGTTACTAGCTCCCTGCTCTAACCAGCAGTAGGACTTGCCTTTTGTACAAAATTAATGAKATTTCACTATTGTAAGCTGTGTTTTTGTATTTGTCAGAGGAATATATTGTGTGTGCCTCACCAGATTCCTTTATGTACTGAGAAAACATCTTCTCTTTAGCAATGATCCAGCCCAATGGCAGATAAACACTCATTGCCAAAAATGCATCTTGTAGAACAAGGAAGCGTGAGGCCAGTAACTACTGAAAATGAGTGCTCTACTGCCAGCCACTGTGCATGCCTTCATCCAATTAGGGCACCACAGGCACGTGCCCATGACTGTGGTGCTGTCCAGTGTATATGCTTTTCCAAAGGAACTGATGGGGCAAGAAGATCTGAATTACATTTAGATAGGAAGCAGGATTTTAACGCAGAAACTGAAAAACTTGTAAGTCGTTAATCTGAAGGAAGATAATTTTTTTCCGCTGTTCTCTTTTCCCCCTAAAGGCTCTCAGCACGACATCTGAACATGACACTATGAGAAAGGCCATATTGGGTCAGACTAGAACAGCGTGTTCTTCAGGCAGTGCCCAGTGGCAGAATCATAGGGAAGAACTGTGCAGTGATCCATCCCTGGGATCCTTTCTCAGCTTCCAGCAATCAATTGCTCRGGGGAATTTCTGGACTAGAGCTAGCTGTGTGTTTAGTTGCCTTTCATGGATTTTTCTTCCATAATTGTGTCTAATTGCTTTTTGAAACCATGCAAACTTCTGGCATCAACAGCAGCTTGTGCCAGTGATTTCCATCCGAGCTGAATCCTTCCATTACAATTAGCCCAAGAACAATTTGCTAAGACAAATCCCTGTTGTTATTTGGAAATTCTGATCTCCTTCACTAAAGGAGATGATGCATTAAGTATTCTTTTGCAAAGAATTTTACTGCAATTGCACAAAACAGCACTGCTGTTAATACAAATTCACAGCATCCATTGCTAGAATTCAGTGGGAGTTATTACAGAGCATACTGTGAATGCAAATTAAAAATAATGCACAACACTCAACCAAATCCTAATGGACCAATGGCACAATGTCAAATACATCAGGAGCAAAGACTTTTAATACTATTATTAAAACCCCAAGCAAACAAACAAAGCAAGTAAATTAGCACTGACAAAATCTGTTGGAGCAACATTTACTCGTCATTGATCAGTGTGCAGACTGACTGTACAGCTCCCAGAGGCTTTTAAAATGTCTGCATGGCTGAAGGGGGAATATACCTCCAGGG